GTTGATGCGAGCGAGGGGGAGGACTTGGAGGGTCGTCAAGGGTGATAGGATCTGAATTAGGATCTGTAGAAGAGCGTTAGCTTGTCTCGTAAGGGATGCATATTTGCTTGGCCACTTACCTCGCTCGGGAGGTCGTCGATATTTGTAGGAGCCATTATGGAATGACAGGCAAGCGATAAGGCCGTTGAATAGGATAGAGCACAAAGATACACCAGCACAGAATAGGCTTGATGTCAAAGAGTCTTGAGTATACGTCAAGAGACTCTCCAGGGGCAGGACGTGGTGATCATTCGGCTTTATACAGGCTTTATCGACCGGATGGAGCAGGCGGAGGCGATGAATGCCGGCGTCGACCCTCGCAGGTGGACCGAAAAATATCGCGATTTGTTTCAAACTCGGCGTTCGGTGACCAAGATCGACTTCAAGATTGAGTATGAGTGGTGCCAGGGGCTAAGAGCGAGTTGTGGTGCGATGCAGTATGGGCAGACAATGGCGTAGGAAGAGGAGGATACAGATGGGTCGGGCTGTGGGTGGCTCCGGGTCTCTCTGTAACAGAGACTAGGAGTGTTTAGCAGACAAATTGCGTAGGAACAGGACGTCTAACAATAAGGCGGTACCTCGGAGGGACATGTGGAATGACAAGGTATCGCGCTCGAGACATGTCATGATCTCGGGCCGTACGAGAAACCTCGCGACACGAGAGGACCCTCGCTCGCTTCTTCCCGGTCGACCCACGCTGCCGAGGCCGGGTCCGGGCCCGCATCTGCGCTGCACCCTCTAACACCTGGACATCTTCAGCCCTACAGGTGGAGCCTCACGAATTCTTGTGTGGATCTTGAGTCGGAACTTTTCGATTCTGATTCTGGACAACTCGCAAAAAAGCAATTTCTCTTCCCGCCATGGCACCACCAAATTTCTGCTGCTTGTTAGTCAACTTGCTCCTTGACTGTGGTCTCGCATCACCATCACCAGTGGCAACAGGTATCAAATGTTGCGAGGATCGATCGTTCCATCGACTTTCATGATTCAAAGCAAAGAAGGTAGACATGTTCAGTGCACCTAACAAAGCTCAGACCGGACGGCTTCTTTCCCCTACAACGGCTGGTATCTGCCACGCTAGGAGGACAGTCAATATGTACCTAAGTAGGCACGGCAAGTTTCAGGGTAATATGCTGCACCTTGGACAAAATCTGCTTTGGTTTGGCAGCGCGCACGGCCAGAAGTGCCCATCCACCTGGATCAGGCCACCCTCGGGAAGAAACGGACCTCATCATCAGTCGAGAAAACAGGCGAATACCTCAAAAGTACCGGAGCCGGCCCCACGGCCAGCTGCAGGGGCCGCCGGCCACGACTGTGCAACATGATTGAACCCTTGTTGCGGCTCCAGCGAATGCATGAAATCGGTCGGGGACAGGACACTCTGCCGATAGTGTATGACAGAACCATTTGATTGGTAAAGTATACGTATCAATGCAAGTTCCGCCGCCCCTTGCCCTACAGAAGGGTTTTACCTAGTAGCAGATTTTCCGACTATGTACGCCTGGGCTGGGGTATAATTTATGCCCAAGATCGTGTCCTGAGAAAGATGTATGTGCATAGCAATGTCTTTACGCGTCTGACAGATAATGTGAGATACTCCACTCTTTGACCACCGCGCCTGCGGGACCCACAGATTCAGCACATCAGCATACGCGCTACAGCACAGCAGTATTTCACGGAGCCAACAGACCAGCTTCTGCAAGCCTACACAACGCGACCGCCTGCTGTTTCGCGGCAGAGACTGTATGAGGACCCCGCCCTAGGAAAGGCAACTGGTGATCGGGGAAGCACCCGCGGCGGGGCTCAATGAGATGGCGGGTCGTGTTCTACTTCGTGGCTCGCTTTTCAATGATTCAATTCAATCAAATGTAGAGCGATGTTGAGGTGCGAATAAGAAAGGCGTGACATCTAGTAGCCTTCGAGCTATTCCGGCCGACGAAGAGCTTGTGACAGATTACATCCCATTGTTGACTGGCTTCGTGAAGAATAAGCGGCTTAGAACGGGCTGTGGTCTTTTCTCAAATCAACGATATGCCACATCGTACTGGATCTCGAGACGCGGGGACACCATCATAAAGACCTAGCTTGCGGATAATCCTCTGGGCCAACTTGAAGTTGAGAAGCGGAAGTCTACTGCAAGGAACAAAAGGGTAGATCCGCATGTCATGAGATTCTCGACCGGGTTCAAAGATTAGCTACCAAGAACGTTCCGGAATTGAGCCTTGGATCACCGCGCTATTCCCTCTCTTATCAAACCATGCGCTTCTGTATAACCGTATTCAGAGGCACAACCTAGATAGTCCGGGCTAGGTCGTTGGGGCACAACGCCAATCACGTGAAATTGCAAAATACCCTGGTACGAACAACTATTTCCCCCAGCGCCGCTTCGTATTAACACCGGCGTGATTTGCGTCAACTAGCAGACTTGCGACATGACTGGCCAGGTGGTAGTACAGAGTTTGCGTCTTGCGCCCGGGTGGACCGCGGCGTATTTTCCGCTCAGCCCTCAAGGCCCACTTGACGATTGAGGTACGACTTCCAGTAACGAGAATTGATTGATAACAGTAGAACGGACACAGAAGGAGCTGAAGACATGGGCAAAGTCATACGTGGTGAATCACGACTATAGAATTGCAACAGACTATGCATCATAATATAGTGTACAGGTGCAAGAGGTCACAGGTCCCATGCAGCGAATGAGGTGTGTATGCATTTTCAATAGGCAAGTATCTGGGAATGCTGCATAGTCAGTGATCCAAAATTTTGATGTCATCCTTCTGTAACGCCCCATAATAGAATCCATAATCAGTCGTAGCTCGACAATGTAATCCACCCAGGCAAACCAAGTATTAAGCCGATGAATTACAGGGCAACAACAGCGCCTAGCACACCAACAAAGATAGCCCCAACAGTTCCAACCTCTCGCGCCACCGCACCCGCAGTTGCTGTGACCGTAGCCTTTGCGGTACCAGAGCTTCCCGAAGCCGAAGTCTTGGTGGCACTGCCGGTCGTCTCCGTGGTCAACCCAGAAGCCTCCGATGCTGTAGTGGTAGCGTCCGACTCGGTAGTGGTAGCCGTGCTGTCGGCAGTCGCGCCGGAAGCGACGCCAGCATCAGATGTGCACAAGTCAAGATCAGACGAATCGATCGTGGTGCCACATGCTGAAGCGACCGAGGCTATTTCTGAGCCTGCAGAGGCGGAGACCCATGAAGCATAGGCGGAGGAGTAAGATGACCAGTCCGACGCGACCGAGGTGGGGAAAGGGTAGGAGCAGAGGTCTGCTGTCAATATATCGGTTGCAGTGGCGGCATAGGAAGCCAGGTTATCCGGCACGGTTGGTGCGCCGGCGAGGATGCTGTCAATATCGTCGGCAGCTGACTCACAGGCCGCATTGTCAGTCGCGGACGCAGTGGAAGAGTCAAGGGAGGCGGAGGGGATATCCGTTTGCCGAGCCTCGACAAATCGTTGATGGAGGGGGATGGTGGCAGAGACGGTGGCGGCGAGAGTCGCCAGGAGAATGGTTGAAGAGTACATGGTGATTTGACTCTTGCAAAAATAGCCTGTACTTGTATTGTGAGGCCGTTGTTTTCAGGATTAGTAGTCTAGTCGAGAGAAAAGGCTCGACTGTCGGTCAAGGCAGACAAAGGAAGCTAAGGATGGACTGGAAGCGTAAAGGTACCCGGCGAGGCAGGGAGGAAAGGCAAGACTTATATATTACGAATACAACCCTGAGATCTGACAGCTCTCCTGTTCGAACAGAAAGGGGGAAAGAATAATTTTTTCTTTAAAAATAGGCTCGTCTTGGCTCACCTGCCCCAAATCCAGCCTTTATTCAGACGAGCCGTTGGCGCCGTCCAGCCTTCGGGGGCCTATTCAATTTAGCCGTACGTGGCGTTGGCAGCAAGGGCCGCCATTGGCAAGGCCGCACAAAGACGAAGACGTTAAACGAGATGAGTGCGCCTGAAATTGAGCGAATGATGCCTGTAAAGATCCTACAGATTCAGTCCATTCACATTCTCCAAAGTGCGACTTCACGAGTGACGAGCCGCCCGCGGCCCAAGAGTGAGTCGCCACAGCTGTGGCCAACCAGCCAGCTCTGTCCCAGACATACTAGAATTGAGATGCCGTAGATCGTCAAATGTCAGATCTTTCAAAGCTCCCAGCATTGTCTTCCGGTGATGCTAGTAAGCTGGCAGGCTGGTAAGGTAGCGGCGTAGCTGAAAAGGCGATCATCAAATAGATGCTCCACCCAAACAGGCAGCCGCCATGCCAGACTAGCCTGACTGGTAGACACTAGATCCTATCCGTACCTTTCGAAAGTGGCAGCCTGCACTATCTGGGATACCCCTAGAACACGGACACGATCGGGTTGTTGTTCTTATTCTTCCTATATGTGCTCCGCGCAGTCCCGGAGACTGTCTTCCCATCTTTCCGGGGCAGACTGCGTTGGTGGGAAATTGGCCCATAGGCCACCTGGGAACGAAGGATTCGTCTGTGGTATCCATTGACTTCCTATAGGGTATGTAATTCTATAATAAGTTTCGGGAGGCATCCTGTGGGATGATCTTATCGGAGTCACGTCGTGTAAGAACTTCCCAGCTCCCTTGGATCGCTCTGTCCAAGAGTGGCCAGACTAGCGGACCGGGTATACACCGTATATCCCATCGGGCCATCATCTCTTGGCGACCTACGCCATTCTGTTCAAGGGAGGGGTCTGTTTTACTTGTCAGCCATCAGCCTGTTGTGCCTGTCGACCGTTAGCGCAGGGCTTGAGACACCATACCCTTCATCCAAGCGGCAGGAATGAGAAATTCGCCGCTTGCAAAGTGCACGATCGCGCTAGTGCTTTCCATACACTCGGGAATCCTGATCCCAGCACAACGTGCTGACTCATGCACCCAAGTTTCTAAAAAGGAATCAGGGATATATATAGCAATTGACAAGACATTTCATTCGCAAATGGCCCCATGGTGTAATGGTTATCACGTATCCTTCACATGTCCTCGATGGTCACATCAAGGCCGGATAAGGTTCTGGGTTCGATCCCCAGTGGAGTCATTTTTGCTCACTCAATGCTTCAACAGTATTCTTGTGGCTTCATCCATTTTTTTTTCTCATTTCCTTTTTCAAAATGTATCAATTATCTATCGGGAGTGTGAAGTCGGGAAAACTCTTGACAAAGTACATTCATGCAGCTGCTGGAGCCACTGCAGTCCTAGTCACAAGGATTCTTGATTTGACATGGACGATATCGTGGACACCGAGTCCGTGAAGTCGTAGCTGGTCTAGGACCAGCGCTGCGCTAATGATCACCACTGAGGATGATGGACAGGGAACCTTGTGCACAGTTGACAGTCGACTTGACTGGATACGAGATTTCCATGTCACGAAGCCAACTAGATCTGCGCCAGCAGCCGACGCCTCTCCAACGCCAAGTCCTCCTTTCGAGGGAACCATGAGAGTCAGCCCAAAAGAAGCAGCCAGATAGCACAGAGTTTGTCCCGGCTTAGTTTTGGCATTGATATGCTCGGGGGCTTGTCAGCATCTTGATTAGACAACTCTGGTAGTGTTAGAGCGGTTTGATTGAGCCAGAAATTTCGCCTGGAGAATAGGTGCGGATTCGTCAGATTTGATCTGAGATAACTCATCCTGCTCTCATTCTTCATTACAAGGACATTTATGACCAAGGGGGCATGCTACTGCGGTAGCAGCACTTGAAAACAGTGGACAAACATAGCACATTAAAGCAAGTCATTGATTTGTCTGCTCGGCGTAATGGCAGCCGACATGTGGGTATGATACGAACCAGAGAGGAGAACACTTCCCATTCCTCACTTCAGCTCTCTTGCCGCCTCTCTCCCTCCTATTTCCTGGCGTTGTTTCTGAAGACAGCCCAAGAAGGACTTATTTTCTAGTGACACGCTCGCTGATACTATGTAGCCCAGAACCGGCTGCCACCATAATTTAAACTATTGGGCGGGGTTAAGGAAAAAAGAGTATTATGTATGCTTCCATATGCATTCGTTCATGAAAGAAGTGTCGTCATAATCAAACAGTGGCGCTCTGGCCCAACATCGCATCCGCATCTTACTTCACCTCTTGACCGGCAGAGCCAGGTCGAGACAAGACAGCACCTTAGGTAGACACGTAGTTAGCAAAGAATATGACTGGATGCAGCCATCGATTGAAGGATGATTAGACTTACATCACTGCCTAATGCACCCTGATTGCCCAGATACCTCGCCATGTTCCTCACTAGCTCAATCTGCTCATCTACGGTCAACCCTGTGATGGCCTGCTCCATGACACCACCCAGGCCAACCTTGTAGGTGGCGATGAACGAGTGGAAGTACATGAAGGTGAAGAAGCCCATGATGAATTGACAGTCCATCCGGTCGGTCATGCCACCATGACCCGGGATCGAGTGGCCAAAGTCCTTGATCTTGAAAGTGCGCTTCAAACCAGATGCAAAGAAACCGCCGAATGGAGCAATCAGAGAAGCAAAGGTTGCAAAGATCATGGTGTGGATCTGCATGGGCTCCGTTGTAATACTGAACTTGGTGTTGGCTGGCAGGAAGACGAATTGGGGAAGCTCGTAGGTGTATGGGAGGAAGACCGGGTTGGGGTCGCATTGTAGGCCGGTGAATACGTTTGCGCCAAAGTCGGTGACTGGGCAAATGAAGTACCCGCTGCGCAACATCAAGTTGGTCAAGAGGTATCCAAAGATGACGGTCATGACCCATGCTCCTACGAATCCCTCGACGGTCTTCTTGGGCGACAATTTAATGAGCTGTGTGCGGCCGAACGTGATGCCGCAAATGTAGGCCCAAATGTCATTTGTGATGACAAGAGCAGCGGGCAGGAAGAACCATATCAGTCCCTCGAAGATGTTGTTCATAATGAAGTGTGCCTGTACCACGATGATCAAGAGTGCCATGTGTGTCCATGCGAATTGGGTGAATTGAAACTTGAGGTGGCCAGCCTTCAGGGACGTGACGAAAAAGACGAATCCTATTTTACTCAATGTCAGGAATAGTCGAATCACACAAGTGAGTACAGATTCTGGAGAGCGCCCAGAAGACCACGTCAGCACAGCCGTACGTACCAATAATGTAGAGCATAAAGCTAATGAACCGGTGGTGTGTAGCAAGAGGCAACAATATCTTGTCGACTAGAACAATATGCTTGAAGTAGTATATGACGCTCTCCCCGTAAAGAAAGTACATAGTGGTGGCCAGCCAATACCAATTGAGACTCTTTGTGGAGCGCAGCTGACGGGCTCGGGTGGGGACGCTTGCGATGGCGATGACCTCCTTGAAGGAGATGATTTGTATGATGGTGATGATCAGGATGATGTAGATGTGGCCCATGAAAAGGGCGGCAAAAAAGCCGCCAATCATGATCAGAGTCCATAGTGTTCTTTCTATGAAGTTGGCCTTTTTCTTCTCGTAGTCGCCCTGCACGGTTGCGGCATCTTTCTATAGCAGGTAGCTGATTAGCATTTGGCCGCGCATGCGCAGAGGTGTAGGAGGATGTGTCAGCACCAAGCCCGGTGGTGCTGGGCAGCAAGCATACCTCGGGAATGTCCTTGATTTGCGGCGACAACTTGGCGCGGGAAGGAGAGGCACCGTCCTGGCTTGCCTCACTGGCCTCGGACATGCTGGGCCTCCGGCCTTCAATGCTGCCGTTGCCCTTTCTATGGGAGAACTTGACACCCCTGCGTCCGTTGCCCATTTTGAACAGTAGTGGAGGGTCTCCGGCTCCAGAAAAGATGAATGCGCGACGTGTTGCTGATTAAGTCGAGGCTAAGGCTAAGGCTGAGGCTGAGGTCGAGGTCGAGGTCGTGGGCGGAGCGTTCGGATTAGGAGCGGATAAAGTCGCAAAAGCTTTCAAGAGACCATTGCTTTTGGTGCGGGCAGTGAAGTGGGTGGTGCTGGCAAGTTGCAGTATCGAGAACGGCGACGATGACTGTTGTGGTGAGGGCGGCAAGTTGGTGGTAATCCGCGAGATGCCGCTGGGTGTTGTGGTGGGCGAGGTACCGTACAAAAGCAAAGCATGTGGGCGGAGTGGAGTCGTTGGTGAAGTCACTTGCAAATTACTGTCAGCTACGTCAGTTTTTTTGGGGGGGCCTTGGCACCGAGGCCTCAATCTCTCTAGTGTGAGTAAGCTTCTGTCTCCCGCAGTACTTCTGACGACTGACACTCTAGTGTTCCACAAATCTAGACCTGGGAGAGCGTATATCGAGGTCTTCGAAGCTTGGAAATGCATCCAATTAACTTTTCACATGCTGGAAGGGCAGAGTGAGCTTCCTGAATTAAGCTGCCATCCCGCTGTATCGTGAGCGTTCCCACGGTGGGCAGTGCATCTCTCCTTAAGCCCCTGTAGATATACTTGTTACTTAGAGAGGGCTTGCTTCAGGAAATGGAATATCGACATGAGGTCTCTTTCTGATCTTCTTTTCCCTGTCAGAATTGACCACATGAATTTGATCCAAGTAGGATCACAATTCAATGGTCACTAATATATAGACTGCGTGCTATCCAGCCACCTTGAACGATACTAGGACTTTTGGCGGGGCGCGTGCCGCTGGTTTGCATGTGAGTGTGGCGTTCGAGACTACGCAGTACATCGTGTGGCTGTGGAGAACTTCCACCTTTGGCAGAACTGCAAGGCTCTGGCACCACTCAGCCACTCCAACCCGATAGAGAAGCTTCGAACCATCAACTCGACTCGAACACACCACCACGACGTTGCTGTGACTACTGCCGGACCGTGTGCGCTTCCCACCGTCTGTACAAGATCACCAAAGGCCGTCTTTCTTGGTCGCGCCCATGCATGCCCAAGTGTAGCACTCTGTTGCGCAGCCTTCCGACAGGCTGCTCGTCCTCTCGCCCGCCGCGCTCAACATCTTGCCGGTCCTCTTTTCGACCACCGACATAATGGCCCCCACTGGACCCAGAGCATCACAGCCGCAACGGAGACCTACCCCTCCTCCGCCCGTTGACGAGCGTCCCAAGGGTCCAAGCCCCGGCAACATCGCCCTGTCTACCCAGTACAGATTCGAACAAAATATCCGTCGCCTCCAGAAAGAATACGGCTGTGACCCAGCCAGGGAGGACTCGTATCGGATACAGGGTGTCCAGCTGATTGACTCTGTCCGCCAGGCCTTGCGTTTGTGAGTTCTCCCTCCTCACCAGCGTCTTTCATCTCCTAACTCGTCTCCCCAGGCCCGTTAAGACCTTTACCACCGCCTGTACATACTACCACCTCTTCCGTCTTTGTCATCGCGATGCAGAATACAATTACCAAGATGCGTCCCTCGCTGCTTTATTTATGGCCTGCAAGGTAGAGGACACCATCAAGAAGTCCAAGGAGATCCTATGCGCCGCCTACAACATCAGGAACCCCGACCATCCCACCACCCAGGATGACAAGGTGCGAACTATACCCACCCGGAGCAACTCGTCGATCCACTGTTCTCAAGGTTGCTAACATCAGAGTCGCAGGCTTTCGATAGCCCACACAAAATCATCATTGGACTGGAACGGCACATTCTGGAGACTATAGGCTTTGACTTTCGAGCACGCTACCCCCAGAAGATCCTTGTCAAGATGGTCCGCCGCCTATACAATTCCACAGACGGCCGCGATGTTATGTCCATGGCCTACGATATGTCCATAGACATGTACAGGACCTTCTCTCCTATAAAGGCTTCTAGCTTCACCATGGTCATAGCAGTCATTGAATTAAATGCACTACTGAACAACCGCGACATTGAGCGCATACGCTCACTCGATCTCGACAAGTACCACACCACACGACATAGCGTCATAGAGGTTATGCTCGACTTGCTGGATTTATATACCCAGTTCAGCAAGCACACCACCGTCGGCATGAAGTTTGAGCTGTCTAAATTTATCGACATCAAGATCAAGCTGAATCAGGAAGTCGATGACAGTGAGGGTGCGGTCCGCAGATTCGATGTCTGGTGTGACAAATGTGAAGACGACGAGAAGATCAAATATCCTATCACGCCAGGGTCCGCCACATCCCCTGCA